CAACCCTCGGCCTATCAAAGACTTCTCCACGGCGTCGGGGTCGAGGCCCGCGGCGAAGAAGGCCTGGGCCTCGCGCTCGTCGTCCCTTGGCGCAAACCCTAAACCCTAAACCCTAAACCCTAAACCCTAGCCCTAAACCCTAGCCTGCCCTGGCCCTGCCCGCAACCCTCGGCCTATCAAAGACTCCTCCACGGCGTCGGGGTCGAGGCCCGCGGCGAAGAAGGCCTGGGCCTCGCGCTCGTCGTCCCTTGGCGCAAACCCTAAACCCTAAACCCTAAACCCTAGCCCTAAACCCTTAATCCTAAACCCTCAATGCAGCGCAAGCTCGGGAGACCTGCTGTTCGGGGTCTTCAGCGAAGAAACGTGTTGCTCACGTAGCCAGAGCAAAACCTAAACCCTAAACCTCCGTTGCCTAACCTTAAACTCTAAACCCTAAACCCTAAACCCTAAACTCTAATTGCTACATAAGCGCGCGGGGCCTGCTCTTCAGGCTTCCTTCGGAAGAAAGATGCTGCTCACGCACCCAGAACAGAACCTAAACCCTAGACCCCAGACTCTTGACCCTAAACCCTAAACCCTAAACCCTAAACCCTAAACCCCCAGCCCGCGCTCACTTCATTCCAAAAACAAAACCATCATCTGCTTGTTCATCTATTAGCCTTTCGCCTTCTTCCTCCGCCTGCAGCTCGTCCGCGTCCAGCCGCCGAGTCGCCTGCGCAAAACCCTAAACCCTAAACCCTAAACCCTAAACCCTAAACTCTAAACCCTACAGGGCACAGGCTGCGGCCTAAGCGCAGCCTTTAGCGCCTGCTTATACACCTTCAAACCCTAAACCCTGACGAAACAAAAAGGGCTCCAAACGCGGAACCGACCCCCAAACCCTAAACCCTAAACCCTAAACCCTTGAAAGATACCTGCAGGTAATCATAATTTTCGTCATTTTCCGGCACATCTTCTTCCTCTTGTTCTCCTTCATCAATCTCAGGATCAGAGACTAAACCCAAACAAAACGCAATTCAAACCCTAAACCCTAAACCCTAAACCCTAAACCCTAAATCAGGGAATGACTAAGGGCGCAGGTTGACGCTTACTGCGAGCCTCCCGCTCTTCCTCCGACTCGTGGTTTTGGCTCCCCGGCTGCAGCAGCAGCAGCAGCAACAGCAGCAGCAGCAGCAACAGCAGCAGCAGCAGCAGCAAAGCCACAAAGGGTTTAGGGTTTAGGACCCGAGAGGAAGGGACAGCAGCAGCGGTGCATGAGCCGCAAACAAAAGAGTAAACCCCAAACCCTAAACCCTAAACCCTAAACCCCAATCCGTAAACCCTTGTCCTTACCATCTTGATGAAAGCTGCTGGCTGCTGCTGCTGAGAGACTTAAGGGCGAAGGAGAAGTAAAGCGAGGGTTTGCGTCTGGCGAGGGTTTAGGGTTTAGGGTTTAGGGTTTAGGGTTAGGGTTTAGCGGGAGAGCCGCAGGGAGTTGCGGCTGTAGATGTACATATACAGAAAAGAAGGAGAATTTGGAAAACTAGAAAAAAGAAAAAGAAAGGGAGAAAGGCAAACCCTAAACCACAAACCCTAAACCCTAAACCGTAGGGGCCAGCGGGCAGGGGATGGTGGTGATGAGGGTTTGTTGCACACCCCTGGTTCTTCCTGAAACTCTCGAGCTCTAAACCCTAGTCCTAAACCCTAAGCCCTAAACCCTAAAACCTAAAACCTAATTATAAAAAAGCAGCTTTTTTTAAATATCTTGAGCAGCAAAGGGCCCTGAGGGGCCCCGGCCCCCACAGCCTGGTGGTGAGTGTTTCTGTGGCTGCGGCGGTGGGGTTGTTTGGAGTTTGCTGCTGCCATTTTTGCGAAAATAAATCAAATAAATGCAATTAATTATTTTAATTTAATTATTTAAATTAAAATAAACCTTATTAACAGACAAAAACCTCAAAAACCTGCAGAGAGAGTGAGGATATCCGCCGGTGCAAAGACCGCGGCCGCTGCCGGCAGGAAGGAAAGCACCTTCAAATCTCGTTAAAAAAGCCTCTAAATGAAACAGATAGAAAATATAAATTAAAATAAATGATTTGTTTGGAGATTTAATTCAATTCAAATAACGCGTTATTTAAAGGTCTTTTGCGCCGCCGTTTCGGGTGTACGTGCAGGTCACCTTCTGCAGCCGTCGAAGGCAAACGCCCAAAACAAGAAAAAAGAAACACTTTTGAATGTCCAAAACGAAATAAAGAGATAAAATAATTAATTAATTAATTAACTGATCCTTTTATTCAAAATATTGAGGGGAAAACGAACAAATTGTTTGCGGCAGCAGCATTTCTGAGGTGTCTATACACCTCGCGATTGAGTATTGAAGATGCAAAAAGCAAACTATAAATCCACAATTTAATTAAATGATAAATAAAGATACAATGGAAGAATGCAAACAAGGCTGCACCCAACGCCGCCGCAACTCCCTCTTTTAAGGTTTAGGGTTTTGTCTCGCTGCTTTCTTGCTCCTGCCTCCAGCTCTGCCGCTGTCTTTGAAATTTTGCTTCCCTTGTTGTCCAGTCTCCTTGTCTTGAAATTGTAAACCCCAAAACCCCAAACCCTAAACCCTAAACCCTGGGCCACAAACCACGGTGGCTTCCTGCGGGTGGGGCCTTCTAGGGTTTAGGGTTAGGGGCTGAGGGTTTAGGGTCTGGGGCTGAGGGTTTAGGGTTTGAAAGAGACAAAGATGATTCTTTGAGTTTTGGAAAGCTCAGTTGCCTCTCCAAGGGCCACAGGCTGCCCCAAAGGCACTTGATACCATACACCCCAAACCCTAAACCCTAAACCCTAAACC